CCCCAAAACCCCAAAACCCCAAAACCCCAAAACCCCAAAACCCCTATTCGTTATCTTAGGGTTGAACATATCAGGAATGATTAGCTTGAGAACAAGTGGGGTACTTTTGAAGTTCCCATACGAGCTGATCCAGCTTTATATCCAATGAAGTCATTGAATCCGATTCTGAAGAAACCATCTTCTCCCCATTCTTCAGTCCATGAGTTAGCGCACTCCCAGTAGAATGATGCAGAGGGTTCGTCGTATCCCCATCCAACGCATTTAATAGCATGAGTTCCCTTCATTGTGTAGTCAATTGGATGATAAACTCCTCCATGATATTCCTTGAAGTCTCCGAAGACAACCATTGAGAAATACAATGGTCCATTATTCATAAGTTCATGAGCGAGGTCAACATTGGTATAGTTGAAGAACAACTTTACAGATCCGTCCTCAACTCCGTGGTTGATGCTGGGAGATCCATCAGTACATGTAGTATCGTGGCAAGTTCCTTTATCTTGAGTATCACCAGAAAAGTATGGGTAACAGGTCTCGTTGACAAGTCCGTATTTTTCAACCCATGAGAGCATGGTCTGAGTCTCAGCACCATCACATCCTTCAGCTTCATAGTCTAATCCAGCACAGTCGACCATGAATTGGGGAGCAAATGTTGTGTTGAGAGCACCTTGGCTCTGAATGCAGTATCTATCGCTCAAGAACTCAGCAATAGCATGGGCCCAGCATGATCCACATTTTCCTTGGTTTCTGATTTTTCCAACACAGTGGCTCATGGTATCATGAGTTCTCCAACTGAATCCATGAGTTCCGAAGATGGATTTGAACTCATTAGCATTGAATGTTGGAGGAGTTTGCAAAGCATCATTTTCTAATGGCATCAAATATCTAGCAGCAAATTCATCCTCAGAAAGGTGGGAGAAAGGTCCCTCTCCAGGAGCGAATGATTTCCAAGCCATAGTGCTTGCAAGGAGTAAGCATGCAATAAGAATTACCTTCATTTTTATTATATAAAAACTTCACTGATTTTCCTTTTAATAGGGGTTTTGGGGTTTTGGGGTTTTGGGGTTTTGGGG